ATATTAACATTAACTCTATATCTCCAAATATGAATAAAGACAGTATAAAAGAGTTAAAATGTGCCAAATATCCTAACAAATAACTTCCCAGATCAATTAAAATGAAATAATAACCTAACAAACAACATACATAACAGCACTTTAAGAAAAGCATAACTAGTAGTAATCAGAAGCAAACAAACAAAAATCAGCGTTATATTTTCAAAATTTTCACAGGACTAGTTTCGATGGTTCTGCCGAACCACCATCCTCAGCTGCAAAACCGCAAATGAACAAGATAGGAAATAATGATTAGATATGATAAGAAAGCCTGGACAAGAATAAGCAAGTGGCGCCATCTGTTGATGAAACCAGAACTAAAACATAATTTCTTTAAAAGGCCAAAGGCAAAGATGGATTGGAATTAGGATCATTAACTAGAACAGAAAGGTTTTTTTTTAATGTGAAATGCTTCTAGAAAATCCATTTCTCGAATGGAAGATGTTTTTTTGAATAATTTTGGCAGCAGAAAAATTGAAAGTGTGATTTTCGGACCAACAATGTTGAGCAACAGAAGACTTCTGTGTTTTCCTTTTTTCTAACATATGACTCATGTTCCTTGACGCGAAATTTTAAGGCTCTCTTAGTTTTAGTTTGGCCAATGTAATAAACCACACTGGCAAGGAATCCTATAAATACCCCAGGAATTCATATACAGAAATGGGGTCTTGGAGTATGGAACTCGGAATTTTATTGATGGGAGAAAAAACAACCCAAAAGTTAAATTTCTGCAAATATATGTGCAACTTTATAGCTAATTGATGCAAAGAAGCGAATGACAACAGAATTTTTATAATCTCCTAAAACAAGAGTGTGCCTTTTAGTGTGTTGAGATGAGAATTTTTTAACTGCTTGATTACTAATGTTGGGTGAAAAAGCCCGTCAATAGCTATTGCTTTTAAATAATTTAGTTCTTTATCAAGGGATAGTTTGGAGGAGCAAGCTTGAAGAGCACGGAAAACATAGGAATAAAATGAAGCTAACTTTTGTTTAGTCGGATGACATGATTTAAAGTGTGGTAGAAGGGAAACCGATGAAGGTTTACGGTAAACCGTAGTACTGAAATTGGATGTGTTATGTGTGACCAGAATGTCGAGAACGAGAAACAGAAGAGAATTGCAAGTCTCAAGTTCAAAAGTGAATTGAATAGCAAGATCAATAGAATTCATTGTTGAAAGAACTTTATTTAAATCATCTTTATTACCTTCAAACAGGGTAAAAGTATCGTCTACGTAATGGAACCATGCCGGGAAGTTTAATGTTTCAAACAATTTTGATTCCTAATAATGCATGTAGATATCAGCCAGGATGGGAGTGAGGGGGCTTTCCATGGCTAATCCCTCAGTTTGCTTGTTGTAATATTTATTTGGAAAACAAAATGTGTTGTTGTTTCAACAACAGAGTTGAGTGAGAGAAATTAGCTCATCAATTTCGATGCAAGACAAATGAAATTCACGAAATCTGGTTTCTAGACATCTTAATGCACCTTCCACTGGAACATTGGTGAATAATGATTTTACATCAAAAGAAACCATGAGTAAATTTCTAGGAGAAATGTTTTAACCTTTTTTACAAACTCTATTGAATTTTTTATGGTGTAAGCCTTCACACGGACTTATCCAAAATAAAAACTGCGATCAATCTTCGAAATATTTCAAGCAACTTAAAAACTTCGCTTCCACGGTTGCGAATTTGCCAGATGATATGCTCTTCCAAATTCATTAAAAGTGGTTTTACCTTTGCCCTATTGCACAATTTAGTACGCCGTATTTAGCTAATATTTAGTTTATAATTTTCACTCTATAGACCAAAAATTTACACATAAAAATCCATAGAGTTTGTAAAAAAGGTTAAAAACATTCCTAGAATTACTCATGTTTTTTTGATGTAAAGTGCCGTGTGGTAATTTACTGGCCAAACTAAGAAGCCTTTAATTTCGCGTCAAAGAACATGAGGCAAGTTAGAAAAGGAAAACACAGAGTCTGCGTGCTCAACAGTGTGGCCGAAAATCACACTTTCAATTTTCGATGCCAAAAGTATTCAAAAAACATCTCATGGAGAACGGATGTAGAGGCATTTCAATTCATAAAATTTCTGTTCTAGTGAACGATCCTAATTCAATCCACTTTGCTTCGGTTTAGGAAATTATGTGTTAGTTTGGTTCGCCAACAGATGCGCCACTTGCTATTCTTGTCAGGCTTATTATCTTATTAATCATATTTCCTATCTTGTGATGGGTTTTGCCGCTGAAGAGATGTTCGTTTAAAAACCCTCGCAACTAGTCTGTGAAAATTTTGGAGGTAAAACGTGATTTGTTGTTGACACGAATTAGTATTTGTCGTCGTGTTATGTGTTTCTTAATTAACTAGTAGGTTTGAAAGTATAAATAGCGAAGAGTAACAAACTAAAATTCCAATTAATAAAAAAAATATTTGTGTTTAAATGTAAGCCTTTAAAGTGCAATATAAGAATTGCAGTATTTACTAATAATGTGATGTTAACACCTTTCTTCGATCATCGTATGTATGGAATAGTTTTACATTTTAGATTAGTGGTAGATTGCAATAATTTTCATGCACTTTATCTCAATAACTTTCCTGTGTTAAAGTAAAGAAATAATTGAAATATATAGGATACGATAGTAAGTAGTACTTAAGAAGCTCTTCGTAAAGAAAACACGATAAACTTTGTGATTTATATTATCATTTTTTGTTATCACAAGCACATAAAGGTAAGCGAAGAGAAAAAAATTAGAATAGACTTAATTTAATAAAAATAAAACCTGATTTCAACAATTTATTGAGATAACTAATAAACATACAACGGTTAATTTTAAAAAAAACGGAATTACGTGTTTGAAGAATAGATACCAACGAAAAGTAAAAAACGCAATGGCTCAATAAAAAATATTTAGTTTTTTTTATATACAAATGAAAATCACATCTTATAGCTACACTATTCAGAAATGCTAATGTTTCCTTAACTAGTTTCTATCATACATCATACATGTAAAATATTAAATTTCTGCATAATCTGTACAAAAGAAATATACTATAGAATGGATTATTATAATTTTAAATTATTAATTGCTTATATTATGACATATATATAATAATCTTCAGCCGTCATATAAGTCTGGCACCAGCCAATAATTTTTTGTATTTTGAAAATACTGAAATACATAACAGCTGAATTTGCTGCTTCTGTATGATGCATTTCAGCAAAACTAGAAAAGGTTACCGTTGTATGTTTTTTTGTTTATATGAATTAATTCTGGAGCAACTTTTCAATCTGAATACAATAATCGATTAATAGAATGTATGCGGATAGACTCGGACGTTATAACGAAGCACAAAGTATAAGATATCCAATATTGCACGCTGAAACACAGCGATTGGAGATAGACATTATTTCCAAGAGACACTTTTCACGAAAACAGAACCACTATTCAAAACCAAGAGACACTATTCAAGAACACATATCCAAGACCATATAGACCACAGAGACAATGATAAAGTCTCAATGCGTTCTTGATTGAAGTACATACATTTACTTTTATAAAGATATATTGATATCAGTATTTTGATAAATTTCAAACATGAGTCGTATTTCAAACTCCTACACGTGATCTTACAAATGACTGAAGAATGCTGGAATATGAAGTAATAGCGCAGTTGTTGTTCGATTTGGCAGCTCGCCAAAGCGCGCAAATCTCGGAGTTCGTTAGATAAGCATCAGTAAATAATGTACAGGTCGCTTCTCAGGAGTTTTCCGTAATATATATTGGTCAGCCGTGAATTCGTCCTACTTCAAAAATAAGAATAAAAGTCATTTCATTAGTGAATAATGCTAACTGTGATTGCATTGATCGGAAACAGTTTTTAAAAGTATATTAAAATTGCATAACCTACAATTAATTTATAAAATGTTTAAGTATTAATTATTTTAACAAAATTTTAAAAATTATTTAGCACGTATTTTTGGTATACTTAAATTAACAAATCAAAAGTATTTATATTGTATTAAATAACATTTCATTAGATGAAGCTCTTTAGATTACGTATTAGATGAAATAAGAAGAAACATTGCAAGTAAATCTTAGGCGGACTTAGGTTTGAAAGGCGATTGGTCTTCATCTAAAAGTAACGCTGGTGAATAAAAAAATGCTAAAACGACACGTCTAAAAGCGTTTATATCAGGACGTTCGCGACGTCGGCAATTTCCAAGATGGGCAACGCAAATTTTGTGTCTTCGCACGTTGTAAAGAAGTCGTAAAAGTTACACGACCACTTTGCAACCTCTCGGACCAGTTTGCAACGACGTGTTCTACATGGGTCAGAGACAAAGCCCCTTTGGACTAAAAAGTTAGTCATTAAAATATTAAATATTTAAATTAAATACGGGCAAATAAAATACTACTTGTCTACATGCACTTTAAATCAGTCAGATATTAATTAAGTATTATTATGATAAATTTAACGCGAATTTCAGCGAGTAAATTATTTTAATATAAATTTTATAGCTCTTTAAGCCCGAAGTTTTCTGTAGCATTTGTAAGCCATAATTTTTTGTAGCTTTTCTGTAGCTGTTTTACAAGCAAGTGAATTATAATCATTAGAAACATTATTCATGTCTAGAATATTTAATTTTGATAAGTATGTTTGTTATCTAAATAGCAAAATAAAATTATCTTCATTAAAATTCCTGTCACATATGTGAAAAAAACATCTTTGCCTCCCAACAATAGCTTTTAATTCAATTTTTAGGATTGATTAAGATGAGAAAATTTAAACCTTCCCTCCACCAAAAAAAGTTCTGTTAGTCTTAAGAGTTTTTCAGATGGTTAATTTAATTGAATGTCCAAGACTCAATACGTACTTAATTGAGTTTTAATAATTTAGATTGCTTGTTTTCCAAAATTGGAAAATAACTTTATATTTTCTTTTTATTTTGCAGGTCTTCGTACAAGACAGCAACATGTTCTACATGCCACAATTCAGTGCTCTCACAAAACCAAGAAGGCTGACGTCAGACGGAGAAAATGACGTCATACTCAATGGCATTCCTGATTGGGTATATGAAGGTTTGTTTCCTGTCCTGTTAAGTAGATGAAACTTTTTAGGTTTTCCTAATTATTTATCCTTGGTTATCCTTGGTAATTTTTATCCTTCGTTTATAAGCTCTGATTTTTATCGTTACCATGCATAAATACCATGCATAAATTATGCTAACTAATATTCTTTCGTATTTTGCGCCAAAATGGAAAATTAGTTCATTTGTGTTTTCTCTTAAGATAATTCCAAAAACTGAGGTAATTATTTATAATTGTAATTATTTATAAATGTAAATTTTGACAGGTTTTATTTTTCATAGAGCAATTTTTTTTACGGATAGAAAAAATTTACATTTAATAATCCACTATTTATTTACTCCTTATGATATCATACTTTGTGTTTTAAATAACATCATATAAATACTAGTTTATCAGCAGTAGGTTTTTAAAAGGTCTAAAAAATTTAATTATAATAGTACCAAAACATTTCTTGCAATTTTGCGATGTCTAGGTTAAAAAGAGTTTCGAATGCGTTACAAAAATTCATTTATACTGGGAAAATATTTATAAGATAAGAAATTATGATTTACAAAAAAATTATTAAAAAAGGGAAATTATTAAAAGTCGCGTCGCATATTTATCAGCAAAACAGAATTTTTCTCCCCAGTTTTCTAGAAATAACTTACTTTTAGAAAGTAAAATATTTTGATTTCGAAGTACGTGTGATTAAAAGTGTAAGAAGTGTAAGCATACGCTATGGTTTACTGGTCTACTATTTGAATACGGCAAAGCACACGAGTATTATCTGCCTTAGGGAAAAGATGCCTTCGTGGATGAGTTTGTAAAGGGAACTAGCTTCTATTCTCATTAGTTTAGAGGAAAACTTCGTAAACCAACCATGCAGCTAGTCCATTAACCTTGCATCGAAGTGCCACCCAATCGGTATAGTGGGTAGAGGAGTCTATTGCGGAAACGAAGGGCCTGGGTTCGAATCCCGGAGACGGCATGGATGTTTGTAAATGTATTGTGTCTTTGCGGCAGGGGGGTACTCTAAATATATGGCGAGCCGAAAGACATATCGATAGGTTATTGCATGGGAAGAGGAGTGGGAGACCTTCGGATCCGTCCCCCTCGATGGATTTCGTGGGCTTATTCTGATGTTACTGTGAGACAAGCGAGATAAGTAACATGAGTCATAACACCTTCCACCAAATCCTTCCACCTTGCTCGAACACCTTGCACCTTGCTCGAACTTCCGGTATTCAACGATCTTAACCCTTCTGCCACTAGGGCTTAATTAGGAGCCATCCTAAAATTTGCCGGAGAATTTTTTTTTTTTTTTTTTTTTTTTTTTTTTTGTGTGTGTGTGATTTTTATTCTGTCACAAGAGAAGTAGACGTTTTATTATTATCATAAAAAAAGATCATGCCATTTACTAGTATCAAAGATTTTATATTTCCTATCACTTAAATTTCGTTCATGTACAATAGAATAAAATTTATTAATCATGAACATTTTTCCTATTCGAATGTGGAAATAGCAATTTAAAGCTAAAAGTGTAATTTCATCTTTTATGTGCGAAATTACATCTGTTATTTATGAAAATTTTATCTGAAAGAATTCTGTCATGATAATGAATCTTAAATTTTGGTGAAAATTAGTAATGAAAAGTGTTAGTGAGCCTGTGTGAGGCGTAAATGAATCTTTTGATGACGAGTTTCGAGGCTTCTTGTTATGGATTAATTATGTGGTCTTCTTTAAAACGTTCATCTTGATTACCATCATAATATCTTTCATACAACTTCTCTTTCTCCTACTTGTAAAACCTACTTGTTCTACTTGTACTCTTGTAAAACGATTCAAAAGAATTCGTGTAATAGTAAGAGGAATCTGTACTACAGTATTTACTTCGCTTATATATAATCAACCATATGTTGAGCAATTTGTTCTGTAGATAGAACTTTGGAATGAAACTCTTTAGTTTCTAATTTTTTCCTCGATGAAGATTCCGATTCTAAAGAAACCGGCTATTCATCTTCATCTTCAGCATTTGATTCATTACCAGAGTCAGCATCCTATCCTTCATCGCCACCAGTGCCCATTTTGTGGAAGATATAAGAAACATATAGCAATTTAGACACAGAAGACAAACTTTTGTTGAACTTTTATATTACAATTCATATCACTGAATTAGGATGATTCAGTGATTTTTGTTAAATCTGTAAACCTCAGAGAATTAGGGTGATTCTCTTCAAACTTCATTTAATCGGGATGATTCATCCAACAGCATGGAATTAGGATGATTCTTGAAAAATTCACTATATGGGGTTGGATCTCCGTCTGGTTCGAAGCAACTCTTGAATTCTTAAACACTGGCTGTTCTTCAACCGGCTAAATCATTCGCATCCTGCTTTGGGCTGCCAATTTATAGCTAGGGGTCATACATCTAAGCGTTATTATTAAAGTAACACAATGTTTATTAAGAAATAATCCAAGAAGATAATCTGCTTCCAAATAAGTTATTTCTATAAATTTTATTTGAATTTAGAAACCAATTATGATTAATTTAATTATTGATTAATTTAATTTAGCCCAAAAGGGATGTTAGTCCTGAAATGGCGTTTTGCGTTAAATCGTTATAAATTACCAAGAGGTTTCGTTCATCTTAAGGTTTGCTGTAAATCCAGAACAATGGCTCCTGAATATAACTTGTATTTCCTCTAAAGGAGATCGTAAAAAACCCACCCAATGTCTAGATTTTAAACATTCTGCAGGTGAATAAAATAATAGAATCAATCATTCACTACACTTTTCTAACTCTTTCTCACCACGCCAAACCAACAATGGAAACATTTTCACAGCTGGCTGATTTATGTATTTTATTTGTTTTATATTCGTTTACTGAAGATGGCATAGGTAGAACTTGAAATGAAAGAACTAATTATTTCAAACAAAATTATAAAGAATCTCAAAATTTCCTCCAAATATAGACTTTGTATTTATAACAATTTTCCTGTATTGGAATATTGGTTTGAAATAAATAGTGTTAGTAAAAAAAACATACGAAAAACGAAACCACGTCATGTTTTATACAAAGCTCTAGATATCAGACGTCACTGTCATCCCCATCGAACCAACACAAATCTTTGAAATAGATCATGGATCATGCCCAGATATACGAATGGTTCTTCCTTCTTATATATTAATTCCCCTGCAGTATTTGTCTGTCCTCCAAGAATTCTGGTAATATTCGTAAGAAACGCTACCTAATTTTACCTATTTCTTCTTAATTTCGGATAAATACAAAATATTATCTCTACGTTACAGATACTCCACAACTTATGATGAGCTACTATAAGCACAGCACAAAAATGTTGAAAACTATGTTCATTACTCAAGTCGAAGACTACATAAATTACGAACTTGCAATAAATATCTCAGCATATTAATAAGATAGGGATAGCATAGCTTGCTGCAGATGATGATAATCTTACTGCGCTGTCAAGTTCTATTCTTTTTACCCTAACTCTTATCTTATGATCATTCGGATGCGATCAATATATAGAACATAAATATAAAACATTGTTCCTCACAAACCGTTACAGGATTGTCAAATAAACAAAAGGGTGTCCGAAATTGGATTCCATGGAGAATTTTTAGCCCAAAAGGGTTGTTAGTCCTAAAATGGCGTTTTGCGTTGAATCGTTATAAATGGCGTATCACTTTTCAAATTGTTGCCTCCAAATGTTATCGCCCAGTGTTATAAAGAAATTAACTAATGAAGAATCTTCATGAAATGCATGTTTCTCTCATTATGAAAAAATAGCGGTACCTAGAGTCATTACATTTTTAAATCCTCCTCCAGAACGCGGTTACCTGGAAGCCCGAATTTATTTTATTATCTATTTTATGTTTTGTAAAACTTGAACAAATTTTTGATTAACATAGCCCAACGATTTCAAAGCGAGCAGTGGCAACACTGTACGGAATAAAATATTTTTATTTCCAGCACACGAGATTGTCTGTCGGAAATTCTTAAGATTTTTCTTATTTTGAATATTTTACGATTTTGTTATTGAATCGAATTTTATGTGATGCAGTATCATCATAATAATCCATTCATAATAGAACATTAATTAATTTTTTAAGGAAAATTTAGTAGTACACGTAATGTTTTAATATTACACGTTTAAACAACTTTAATTATTTCGCATGAAAATTCCGTGTAGTTGAAAGCCAACAGGTAAATAAATGGATAAAAGAAAAAATTTCTGGCATTTGCTTTAAAGAAATTAATCTTGCAATTCCTTTGTGGAAACCTAAAGTCTGAAAACTGGAAACTTCCGCAAAATTCTTTTTTCTCCGTAGATGAAAAATCAATTCCTTATTACAGCTCTTAAAATTATTCTCGAAATATAAACATAAGTTTCTTGATCTTTATTAAACTTGTGTAGAGGAAAGACATTAAAGTAAAAATCTTCTGAACCATTAAATTCATTAACATCCCGAACCTATCCAGGTACCATGCCGCCTTTTTGACTACCATCAATATTAAGGAATATGTTTATGTGTATGTTAGTTGGTGTTAAGCTTTGCACGAAAACGGGTAAACGTCGGAAAACAGCTAACTTTCGATAAATCATTTGGCCTGTAATGTTGCGTGCCACGACTGACATCAAAAAGCAAACAACTTTTGCAAACCAAACAGCTGAAAATATGTTTTTATTTGCTCTTATTATTCCAACTTAGAAAAACACTGCAATGGCTTTTGGTTTTCTTCAAGGTATTAAAATCGTTAGTTTAATAGAATGTTTGAGTAGAACTTGTATGATTTCTACAAGATTGAAATCATTTTAGAGCGGAAACTTGCAAATGTATTTAAAGAATCAGAATCTCATTGAAAATTCTCAATTCTTTGCAATTAAATTGAAAAGTTTTATAACTCTTTTCCGACTTTAAAATATTCAATCTTAACTACTATGTAAATAGATCATCTATTCAAGTGTATATGCATAGTGTAAAGATATAGGGTCAGTCCGAAATATGGCTAAACGTTTCATCGCCTAATATGATGAGAGCGTTATGACTACAGAAAGTGAAATTATGCCATTTCTTTAAATTGAGGACTAATAAACAACAATATCAATCCCAATGACTCCTTCCATTGTCTTTAATTGCTCGCCGTTCCATTGCCTCTAATTGGTGTATCGATGCTACTGAGAGCCCATCCAGGGGATTTCTCTGCTTGGACGTTTCTTTTTATTAGCAGTCCCTTCCTGAATTTTATCGTAGTCGGCGTTAAAATTACATCTCACGCGAGACTCACTTCAGAATCATTCTGGTATGCAGTCTAGCATGCTGCTGCTGTAACTTGCTGTCCATATTAATCAACATCTTTGACAATGACGTAAGCTGTGGAACGTGATTCTTATTTGAAAATGAAAATTGAAATTTCAAGTTTAAGATGCTATCATTAGGTGCAAATACTGATATTGTTCTATTTATGTAGGAAACATTACTGTTATTCAGTTAATATTTATATTTCATCCCCCCCGACGGTATAGTGGTTAGCGGAGCTGACTACGATACCAAAGGGCCCGGATTCAAATCCCGGAGAAGGCATGGTTGTATTTATCCGTCCCCTCATGGAAGGCAAAGGTGGCCCACCTATCAGGTACCTCCATAATAAAGTGACCACTTCTTCCATCCTTAGTAATTGCCAACGTCTTTGGAAGGTTTGGGTCCGCCATTGGAAAAAAATTTATATTTTTGTATGTGAATATAAATTTAAGAGATAAAAATAGAAAACTTCTTCTTGTTACGGGTCAAATATAGTAAAAAAAAGTTCAGAAGTGTATAGAAGATCACAAAATCAAGTGTAAACGCAGGAGAACATGTAAGTTGCAACAGTAGTAATAAAAATGTGAAATGCTGTGTTAGACCGAAAATGAAGTTGGAAAACAAATGTGTGAAATGCCTTAAATCGTGCCTTTATTAACGTTTTAGAATATAATAAGCTATATTATTATGCTGCTATACCAGAAAATATACTCTAAAATCCATACCTTGAAGTTACTTATTGAGAATAAATTTTCACATTTTAAATTCCCATCTAGACTATTTCCCCAGATAATATTTGTGCAGTAAATATGGAGCAATGTCAGGACGTCAACCTAAGTATATTAAGAGGAGTGAATAAAATATACTACAGTCGCTGGGAATGTTAATGTAATTGTTGTTTACTGCTAGATATGCACTACAATAATCCAGAGCGTCCCATAAATGAGAAAGGAGTGAAACAAACGTAGTTTTACTGTTACAAAAATAAAAGCGATGCAAGCCATTTGACTAAAACATTTTCTAAGCAAGCTGTTGCTATTTTCACTTTATTATTTATGTTTGTTTTTTATTTATGTATTACATTACATAATTTGTATACATCCGCCAAATAATGCATTTCTTAAAGGCATACAGAAATTTTAAGTTATTGAAAATCTTTTTAAGGAATACTTACTAGGAATACTTTTAAGAAATACACTTAAAGAAATAGGTACTTCTTTTATTGCCGTGGTCCCTGTCTACGTTTTCCTTGATATTCTCGTCAACACTCATTTAATTCTCATTCACTTATGCACTTTTGCTTGTATAAGGTTGGTAATCACTAAATCTACTGCAAAATCTATAAGCCTTATTATTGCTAGATAACCAAACAATTCTTATCTACCTTCATAATTCTCATTTCGCCATTCAGTTTTACTAACTTTTACTATATTTAATAATTCTGAACTAAACTTTCGGAATATTTTAATTGTTTTAACTTATAATGAATTATTAACTATTCTGAATAGATGTAAGTAGCCTCTTCTTTGCTTAATCTGGATATGAATTAAACTCACTTTAAAATTCCAGTTTCTGTCAAATTAGAAGTAATACAGTAGACTGATGACGCAGGACAGGCGGCAGAATCTGGTTACTATAATTAGTCGGTTTTGTCCCACATCCGCCACTACCGAATGAGAAAGCGCCCGTTACGGAGACAAACGTCCGCAGTATGTGAGAAAAGGATACCGTGTATCTGCAATTAAATTTTCATTGTTCATCTGGCAACAGGCAGCTATAGCACTGGAGTTATAAATGGTAGTAATACCATATACATAACTATATTCAAATATATATTGTAAAATTCAGAAGGATGCAGTAACAGGTAATAAAATGCAAAAGAATTCGCATAATAGAACACAATACATTAAGTACATTGCATGCATAGTTAATACATAGATGTACGAGTGAATTAAGAAATTCAAATCTTGTTATGCACTAAATTAGTAGGGGATAAATGTAGAAAAGTTTGTATTTGAACCTCAATTCATATGCCTGTTGTGCTACAGAAATTATGTGATAGTTGTCAAGAAACGAGTCCGAGTGATTCATAAAATAATAATATGACTCCACTCAGATCCCAGAACATTCTGTTATATATTGAACTCAGTAAAAGTTAAAATAATGCTCTGAACTAGCAGACAGCCATGTGGAAGTTTTAATCTACGATACTCAAACAAGAAATTTTAAGAATGAAAAATGGCCATGATGGAGACTATCCAGATGACTACAACGCCCCTTGAATTATTATTTTTACGTGGTGTAAACAGATTGCAAGTCAAAAGCAGGTTTTCGGTTTTTCTAAGCCTTTCTCGAGGCTTTGCGATAATAAATTACTGACCTACTTTAAGACCTTCGTGAAATCCTGCCTCGGGGAAAGAATAGTTTTATTTGAAAACAAATGTTGTAAGTAGTTCATTTTTCAACCAGTTATCAAGAATTTGTCAATACTTTGATATCCTTAAGCAGCAAAACTAATATTATTGCCAGCCTGTTACCATATCAGATAGCTGTCTGCTCACACAATTTTGACTCCCATAATATCGAAATTTAACTTTCATATATTGCCATTTATTGATATATGGTTAATTATGGTTAAAGAAAATTTCCAAGATTCGATTAAATTTTGATTTTTATTTGAGCATTTTCCATGGTTTAAAATTTCCTATGGTCAAAGCATTTCATTTATATTTTTTTGTCAAATCTTTGTAAATATATGTAAAATATATGAGCTAACTTAAAGGTACCGAAAATTTCCAGTCTTTTGGTTGCTCTCGGCCGCACCAAACATATATATATATATATATACATATATAGTATACCTTCTCTGTTATCCGACTCGGTGAACTCCGTTTTTTATACTTATAATGTTGGTAAATTGTTCACTTTTTGCTTTAAAAGTGAATGAATTATGTTAATTTTATACCTTTAGTTAATATGCATGCAATAGTTGTAGAACTGATAAAAATGTAAAATTTAAGCGGTTCTAAGGCTATCGAAGCCGCCATTTGTTTGCATTTGAAACTCTTGGTGGAATAGTGAATTAAGCCAGTTTGTGCACCAACTTCAATGTCTTTTTGCCGAGTGGGACCTTTTATTATCTCAATTATCTCTTACACTGGTAAACGTGAAATGACTGCTTCTAATGTTTCGAATCCTAATTCACAGAAAATCGTTGGTATATGTATATGGATAATCTAAAGTCATGTAAATTACTTTGTATTTTTTTTTTTCAGAGGAAATCTTAGGTTCGAATCATGCCATCTGGTGGTCAGATGATGGTACAAAAATTGCATACGCAAGTTTCAATGATTCGGCCGTGGATTTCATCAGCTTGCCCAGATATGGTGACTACCACGATGTCACAAATATATATCCACAGTTCCGGAGGTTCAGGTATCCTAAGGTTCGTTTTATTTTTAAATTGCTATTCTTTTAATAATTGTCCATAAAAAGCACAATGTGATATTAATTGCTAAATGATTTTAAACGCGAATAATTTCATTTCAAGCTACACTTCATGGACTAAGATTGGAGTACATGAGTTCTTTTATGTTTTGATAAGAAAATTATTCTTTCAATAGATATCATTTAAAAAAAATAACCTTTCTTTTAAAATACATTATCCTTGTTTAATTACTTAAAAGTCTTAAAAACGTAGACAGTCACAACAGATCTCATTTGGTGTTTTATAAAAAAATTGCATTTAGCCACTGCTAGGTGTTTTATTACTGTTTATAATAAGAATAAAGTTTTGGCTAGATTTCGTAACCATATTTCATTCTGAAATTACCAAATGATAGTCATGCTTTCAACCCATGCTTGAGTTGTTTTAAATAAGGGTGAAAATTAATAACATATGTAAATACGTAATATAATTCATTTTTTAATTTATTAGGTACATATATAGGTAAGATAATATATGTTCGTATTCAAGGAAAAGCGTGGACTAGAACAGTATCATAAGAACTATTAAAAGTTCTTATTCACATTTTTAGCCCGCCAGTGACCGAATGAATAAGGTCAATGAATAGTGATAATAATGAGAATGAATAAGGTCAATGAATAATGACTGAATGAATAAGGTCAATGAATAGTGATAATAATGAGAATGAATAAGGTCAATGAATGAATAAGGTCAATGAATGAATAAGGTCAATGAATAGCTCGAGCCGAGTTCAAATCATGGGCTGCCCGTAAGAGAATTTACGTCGATTTTCCCATGTGTAAAGTAAATGCAAGCCGAAGTTTCAAATAGTGTCCTTCACGAAAGCAGCCTGCCCCTTAGACAGCTCGCCTCCGTGTTCTTTTTCATAAGAGCCCAAACAAAGGTTTATATATATGTGTGTGTGTGTGTATGTAAGATGACTTTTAACATTTCAGTAGAATTTACAATTTGATTTATTGTTAAAAATGAGATCTACAAGATTTTGTCATTTAAAAAAATATTTAGACCAAAATTTTTATCTTTTTTGTTTTCCAAAATTGCATTTTGCTTGCTTCACTGATGTTTTAATGCTTTATTTTAAAAAGGCTTTTCTGTCTTTTTCGCTTTTTCTCTTTAAAGGGGGGATATGTAAGATAAAAATATGTAAATCAGCTTTATAATTCAGTTTAGCAATAGCAATTTTGAATTCATCATTTTTAATTTCGGTATTTCCTCTCTACTCTAAAAACAGTAATAAGTTTCCTGAGCTAGATCATTTCCAAATTAGTCTACGGCACATAGCTTGTGTAACGCTTACGGCGTTAATTCGTAATCTAAACTCAGAATTTTGAGAACTGAAACTTTTCTAACCTGAACCAAAATTTTCCTCTTGGTGAGCTTCCATTATTGGATAACTGCGCACTTATAGCTTCCCTCTGCGTGTTGCTTGGACGCAATTTCGCTGTGCTTTCTTCCTATCGCAACAGTATCAAAAATATAAATGTTCTGGAAGTAAGCACAGTTAGAGTGCCAAATAAATTGTAGTCACAAATGTCAATTTAAATCAAAATGTAGTTTTATCCGCCTCATCTGCCAAGTTTCCTAGTCATTAATGTTTTAACATTCTATGCAATCAAAATTCTTCCTCTTCAATATGCCATCTACGTTCTTTGTCATCAGTAATTTCTCCGTTTCTATGTCTCAGTGTTCTTACATCAGTACTTCTAAAATTTGGTTTATTGCATACATATATATGTACTAATAAAACTAGAAAAAGCTTGTTGTAATAATTTGGCGTGGTAGATAGATGCATAAACCACAAAATTTCAAAAGTAGCCGAATTCAATAGTTTCCTTTTTATTCGTGGTTGGCATATATCATTTTTATTTAATTCAACATGAATCAAATGAGCGATACGGCGACTTCTTCTTAAAGAATGTTTTACATCGAATAAACATGAAAGTTATATTTTTTGAAAGCAGAAAGCATTAGCACGTTGCTATAGCAAAGCGGAAGACGGCAAAGAAAGACGAACAAACAGAACGACAAGCAGAAGAGAAGAAGTAACGAGACAGGACAGCAAGGACTTTTCAAACCAAGGCATAATTACATTTCGGAATTTATTTCAAAAATGTTTACATTAAGCAAAAGTCATGTGACACGGATTGGTCTCAAACGTACTGAAGAAAAGATTACTATTTTTACAATACAGAGAGGAAATATCAAATTAAGCATTAATAGGCTATTACTAATTTAAATTATACTTTATTTTTACATATTTTTTATCTTACATATATATGCATAGGCATATGAAACGCGCATGACGAAACACGATGAGACAGCTTCAAAGAGGCTCGCAGTTTTCATTCAGCTTATCAACTATCTCTCGCCATCTTGTTAAAGATAAGGAGGACATATCAGTTACATTGTTCTAGAATGTTGCAAAATCATTACGAACACTTATTCTAGAGCATAGGTTTAAAACATATTGTTCCTTAATTTTTATTATTACCAAATGCAATAATTTCTCTGACATGTGGTAGTTCGTTTGTGATTCGACTGTTAGTAAACAAGCTGGTCGCTTGGAATTGTGACTTCTCCATGCATAATGTCAGGTACGAGCTGGTTTCCATTACATATTCCTTCATGATGTATCCCTCCTCAAGTAGATATTCTATGCGAGCTTTGCCATCATCAATTAGCGAGCTAGTTGTAAAAAAATTTTACATTCACCAACAATATGTGGAAAAGACGAGCATAGTAACTTGGCTGCATGATTCACAGATCTCCAATGAAGATAAATCTTTCTGTGGCCAGTATTTCAAGTTGCAAGGTCTACACAACATCACCGTTAATCACCTAAAACTTAAGCAGACAATAGTATCTGCATGGAAAGGAGATTCAAAAAACACACATTAACATCATATTGCTTGCGTGCAAGTACCATCTTTGCTGAAGAATAAGCATTTTAAATTTTCTGTATAATAAAGCCTATTTTATTAATCTGTATGGTGTAAATGTTCAATCTTCTTTTTGGATGCCACTTGATATACATTTATTTTCACTGTTTCTTTCTATCTGGTAGAATGGATACGATCTCTGAACATTGGTAGATCTACCAATGTTCAATCTACAAAGCTCAGGACTAGTTGAATACATGAATATTTTCGTGTTTTTCCAATGTGTTCCCCCAAAATACCAGAAACATTTCTTGGGAAAGTCCTGTACAAAGGCATTATTCTCTTTAAGCAGATAGCTTTCGTACATTCTTCCAGAATTAATTAATTCTAATCTTTAGCTTTGTTTAGATGATGAGACACATCAGTTGCCGGATTGATGGGAACTGAAGCGAGCTTAGGAGACCTTCTTTGCTAGTGCTTTTGGCAATTCATTTTTCTACCTATTATCTGTTCATAATTTAACGATGTCTGCGCCTGCCGTTTGTAATTTCATTAATAGACTACTGTTGAGAAAAAATGGAGCTGTTAAAGGACTTAATAGTGCACTATCATTTTGCTTTAGACTATGGAGTCAGTACTTCAATTTTCAAGTCAAATTTAAATTGCCCTTGAAAGTAACAGTGGTTAATATACGAATTCATTTAATTATGTAATGCTACGAACAATAGAAGTAAATAAATAATTTTAATTCGAATTTTAGTTTATCATTTATTTGTAGTTGATCCAATCTAATCGCAGTTAACATGCCAAGAATTAAAGCAGTCAAGCTTCTAAGAGAATAAATTGTAATTTAAACGGAATATGAGTTGTTTAAAGTCTTGTAAATTTATTATGTGAAGCTAAAAACAGTATCACTGAAAAAATTAATAGATCGCTAGCTTCCACCACAGATCTTATACTTAAAAAAAATGAGAATATGTGTTGTAAATTAGAGATACAGAAATAAGCTTTTAGAAAACCTCGATGTGTTACCCTCATGCCTTAAAATTTTAATTTTAAAATGCTCCTTAAACCTTTTAAATGTAATGTAAATTACATACAGTACAAATATGTTGAATCAATTTTTCGTCAAATTCAGTGTGCCTTTAATACCAATGATGTTGCTTTAAATAAAATTGAAATCAATAATTTGATAAAAAAATAGCATCTCAAAAAGTGATTTTACATTTTGGTGAAAAATTTATGTTTTATTTGTAATGTTACTGTGCGACTCTACTACCTTATAATGAATTGGACCCTGACAAATTCAACCACTTAACAAAGTAATGACATAACAATCAAGCGATACGAGATCTTACTTTATTATGAGATTTAATTACATGAGCTATAACTCAGATCCACGTATCGTGTCGCATCGGATTTCGTGATAAATATCTCCCTAAAATTCAAATAAAGTACTCTAAAGTAATTAGAACTTTACATTGTACCCTCCAATTTATTACACTATATCGGAAGTTAATGACCTTTAGCGTCAGTTTACATCACATATAAAAGATCTAATGTATAAATCGATTCGTTTAATAGAATTATTAATTTTAAACTGATTTTTGAGCTGGAATATGAATGAAAGGATATTCGTTTAGAAACTGGCTTTGCAGAGGAAGTAAATTTAACAAATAAGCCCATTATACTTTGACGGATGGCATATTTTATAAAATTGCTGAATCTAAATTAATCGTATGGCCTTAATAAACCTATTCTTTTATATCTAGTACCTAGTTGTATTATAACAACATATATTTTAAAAAATTCCATGTATTCCAAATCGAAGTATTAAGAATCTTTTTGAATCTGTTCTGATTTTTCTGAAATGCCATTCTGCGGATGCAATCGCTGGCGCAAAAAAATGTATGCTATTTAGAACAGCTCACAATTAGTTGTATCTTCAGTCTTGGACACCTAAGAATTTCAGAGGCAATCTTACCATAAGGTCTGCTAATCACACTTTTAACAAGATTTTATCCAGAAGTATCAAGCCAAACTTTATTCATCTCATGTTTCTCCCATTTAAGGAGAAGG